TGATCTCAAACTCCTGACATCAAGCATTCCTTTTGCATCTGGCTTCCAGAGTGCTAGAATTATAGGCATAAACCACTGTGCCTGGCTTGTCATAAGTTCTTCTACCTGATCTTTCTTCTCTGGGCTACGTAATTTTTTTTTTTTTTTTTTTAATTTTTGAGATAGGGTCTCACTTTGTTGCCCTCCTTAGAGTGCTGTGGGGTCATAGCTTATAGCAACTCTTGGACTCAAGCATTTCTCTTGCCTCAGCCTCCCAAGTAGCTGGGACTACAGGCCACAATGCCTAGCTGTTTTTAGAGATGGAGTCTTCCTCTAACTCAGGCAATCTGCCCACCTAGGCCTCCCAGAGGGCTGGAATTAACATGCATGAGCCACATCACCCAGCATTTAGCTTTTTTTTTTTTCTTTAAGACAGAGTCTTACTATGTTGCCCTTGGTAGAGTGCTGTGGTATCACAGCTCATAGCAACCTCAGACTCCTGGGCTCAAACGATTCTCTTGCCTCAGCCTCCCAAGTAGCTGGGACTATGGTACCTGCCATAACGCCTGGCTACTTTTTTGTTGTAGTTGTTGTTTGGCAGGCTCAGGCTGGGCTCGAACCTGCCACCCTTGGTGTATGTGGCTGGCGCCGTAACCACTGTACTATGGGCGCTGAGCCTAGAATGTTTTTTTAAGAACCTTTCATAAGCTAACCCTGACTTTTCAGGAAATGAAATGAAAATGGCAGAATTTATCTGAAGATACACAATCTAGAAACAGAACTGCTGCTCTTTTGAGGGATAAGATCACAGTGGCATCACTGGAAAGTCCAGATTACTTGACATACTGGTAACCAATTATTGGGGTCATGTTCCAAGAGGTTTCTGCATTTGAGGGATTTAAGACTATGCTAAAGGCAGAGGGAGCGAATAGGACATAAAAACAAATTAGTTTTTCCATATCATGAGACACTGTGCTAATGTGTGTATGTCAGAGAATCCCTCCTGAGATCCAAGAGGAAGTCTCTCACAGCTGGAAGTGAAAGGTCATTTCCTGGCTCCGCGCCTATGGCTCAAGTGGCTAAGGCGCCAGCTACATACACCTCAGCTGGCGGGGTCAAATTCAGCCC